TTTGTGTTTTATCATGTCGTTAATTATTAGCCACCGTCGGTGCCTAACGAAACACTATAGAGTGCCGTGGAACAATTTAGGGTTAACACATTTAATAACTTTATTAAATGTGTTAACCCTAAATTGTTCCACATATACTTAATGGTCTAGGCCAAGTGGTCTAGGCATCAAGTGACCATTAAGTATATATATATAGGTAGAATGAGTATTATTAATACCTGTAATTCTTTATACAACTATGAAATGATAGTTAAGTATTAATTAAAAATGGAACTTCAAAAAATCTTAATTTTCTTTATGAAAAATGAAAATAAATTATAATATAATTTATGTTACCGATGTAGCGCCTACAAGTTAGTATTAAAATTATTATTAAAAACTGGTATTAATTGAACATCATTGTAAATCAATCTTAACCACCTGATTACTATCTAAGTGAGCAACGGATACAAGGACAACGTTGCCCACTTAAGGATTCAGTTAGCAACTTAATATTATTTTGATTCTCAAAGCAATTCACATTTAAGCCGCCTTTGTAAATTAGGTAGAACTGACAAGTCTCGACGTTCTTTTACGAAAACTCTCATGAATTAGAATCCCTCTATTGATGATTGATAATCGCATGAAAATTCTGTTGGGAGTTTTTTTTTTTTTTTTTGTAAGAGGTGGAAAGCTTCTTTGTTTTAAAATAACTTAAAGGTTTATTCATACCCCCATACATAAAAGACGTGAGGAATACAACATTTAATCAATATTTTGTAAACTTCTATCAGCCTGTATATCATATGTTTGTTGCAAGAGAAGTTTTGTTAGTACGAGTTCTGTACCGCGGTCTAAGCTAAATCATAGAAAATAAGAGAGGCGATTATTTTATTAATATCCCTACATTTTATAATGGAATGTGTTCCGTTTGAGGGTTATATTTTTATCAATGAATATAAGTCTAAATTCAGGGCAGGCATTAAAGACCAACACTCGATATACAGTGCTAAGATCTATAGGATACGTACTACATTGACTTCGATTATGTTTGCATCAGATTCAATCAAATGCACTCAACGTTCATTTCTTTAATTTTAGATACAGTGTATATGTTAAATAGATCGCGTTGAATCAAAATGCAATATATATTTTTTTAAATATTGAACGCTGTGTCCTATTTCCTATCAACCGAATCGAATCCCATGTAGCTAGTAGGTACGTAGTAAGTACCGCAGATGAGATAGGTGGCGGGACAAAAAAGTATACAAACTTCTCAAAATATGACCAAGATGGATGAAGGCCTATACTAAATTGATGAAAAAAGTTTTAATAACGATGATGAAAATGACGAGAGAATCATACCACTTTCAATTTATATCATTTTATATTTATAGTTTCTTTGCGAAATTGAATCAGAAGCGAGGTGATTCACAGATGAACGAAGATGAGAGTAAAGTCCTCGAGTGGCGATCATGGAGTTTGGACCGAAAAACGGAGCGTGATACGAAAATCCATCTTGTGAACCTTGTAAATGAACGATTTTTGAGGAAGCCTTTTTCAAGCATTTTTCCAGCTGATATTGTGACGATGAAAACGAAAGTAATAGAACCGTATATTTTTATTAAAATATCTAATCATAATAAATTATAAAATTCATATAAACGACTAAATTATCAATTTTTAAAACCGCCTACATTCAATGAAATATATTTCTTAGCTAGATAAATGAATCGCTCTGCTCGTCTCTGTAGCCAATGATTAATCTGTAAAGCTACTAACTTAGCCTCAGAAACTTAACAGCGAACTCCCTATGATGTACGGTAATTGTTCATGTGCGAATAACTGTTGTTAATTTTTGTGAGTTGTCACATTAATTCTAACTGTTATTATAATTTTGTGTGCGACTTTATAATTGTCTTATTTACAATCGTAAATAAAACAATAGTTTACGTCTGTGGTTCATTTAGTCATCCTGTTTGCAATGTGTTTTTTATCGTTTCATACAATACGTTTTTAATACGTAATCATTAAGATTTTTAAGATTAAGATTTTAATGCGAAAGATTTTTTAAGATTAAGATTTTAGTACGTTTAGATAATTAAGATTTTAATACGTAATCATGCCCATTAACAAAAAATAGCAAATGTAATGATAAGCCTATTATAATTAAATGCATACACAGTAGAAACCGATGCTAGCTGAGCTACCTACACATATGTTACATATCAATTCTGATTTACGCAACTTAACAAGTTGAATGTTATATTTAAAAATAATAGTTGTCTAATGGATAAAAATGCATTTTATTCATTTTAGACATCATGGTCAATGGTAATATTAACTTAGAGTTGTACAACCGGTAACTAAGTGGAAATAACGTAAGTTTTATTTAAAACGTTACTTATTTGTAACGTTGGATATCGCAACGGCCACCATTATATTAACATTAATATAGCGAACTTGTGTCTATTGTAGATTAGATTTAAGAGAAAAATTAAATCTGAGTGGTATATTATGTGCTGAAAATCTATGTATGTTTTAAATTGTTGATAATAAATAATATAATAAAGATTTACAGAGAATTGAATACCGAAAACTACAAAAAGTAAACGTTTGGGAAAATGCAAATAAAAAACAAATTATAAAACAACCAGTTGTGTAACGCTTAATTAATGTATTACAATTGAATATACATTACGGCGTTCAAAGTGCAGCATCTTTTATGCTTCGATACACTCCAGTCATTGTATGCTAAGTTTATTCAAATCTCAGAGGTTTCGAATGCTTTGCGGAGGCACTTAATACAATCTTAACGTGCTACTACTGAAACAAGGGGTGTGGTAAATTTAATCTTATCTTTATCAGAATAAGGTTGTCAATGTTGTTTCGAATTATCTTATTAAATTTGTATAATCTGAGCGCACAATTTCGAAATGTCACGGCATACGGTCTATTATTTTCACCCACGCTGTAACCCAAAGGTGTGTGTGCAATGTAACCGGTTTGTGCGGAGAATCTATATATTTTTCGAAAAAGTTTGTAATTACAAAAAAAAATCTGATCAAGAAAAGGACGTTTTTAATAATGATTTTTTTATAAATATAATTCAGTTTCCACTAAGTAACGTTGTGTCCATAAAAATAGAATATATTATTGTATGAGTAAAATAAAATATATTATTGTGACATAGAGGAAATAGTTATATTCCATCTTTATTTTTAAGTATGGAAACTCCTTTACATCGGAAAATGTGTGAGCATTGTCGAAGTTACAATCTATCACAAATTATAATTATAAAAAAAACTATCAAAATCAACACAATGTTTTGTTAAAACTTTAAAAACGTTGTAGAAACAACCAAACAAGATCACTTTTATATTCGCAATGCTATACTGAAAATATTCTAAATGAAAAATGCTTAAAAATACACTTTTATTTTTGTAAAAGTGGATTTTTTAATTATTTTTCATTGAGAATATTAAACAAACAATCGTTCCACTTTATAAGATCAGTATACGTAGATGTAATAAAAGTAAATTAATTTACGAAAATTAATATCTTAATAAGTCATCTAATATTTCTAACCAATGATGTTTCTTTATATCTAAGTTTTAGAAATTGATTTAATATTCCGAAACACAAATTTCAGTTACAAATATGAATTCTTATTGTATAATTACCATTTGGATCCATTTGGATGTCTGTTTGGTCCTGTTTGATCCACTTCGAGGAATTGACATATTATCGCTATTAAAGTGACATTTATTTTTAGGGTTGTAGTTTTTAGGGTTCCGTACCCAAAGGGTAAAACGGGAACTTTATTACAAAAGACTTCGCTGTCTGTCTGTCTGTCACCAGGCTGTAACTCTTGAACTGTAAAATTAAGACAGTTTAAATTTTCAAAAGAAAAAAATAACATACAACAAACGCGATTTTTGCTTGTTTTTGCGTTTACAAAATATGTATAATATTCTGTATATATCTTTAGCGTAAAATTAAAAATAATTAATGAAATTAAAATTGCACAAATATTTAAGGGGAGATCCCATACAACACGAGATTTTTTGCTTAATTTTGTTTTATAAACTTCCTCATCAGCATTTAAGTACAATTTTTATTTGAAATGATTTCGCAGGTATCGCAATCTCTCTGAAGCCCCGGTTTCAAATCAGAAACCGTTCAATGTAGAAAATGATTTTTTTATTATTGTCTCTAGACTGGGACACAGAAGATTTTCATTTAATACGAGAAAGTTATTTTAGTTTGGAATTAAAAAAGACACAATTTATTTATCCAAATTTATGGAGTTGAATGAGACGACATCGGTTCTTGACACTATGGCGAGTGACCTTTTATTTAAATAAAACTCCAATACAAACTTTAAAGTGTTATTATACTAAACGCTTTACATGATAAAAAAATATATGCTGGTGGGGGGGGGGATAAATCAATGATGCTCCTTTAAGCTCAAAAACACCGTATGAAAAAATCATTAATTTATCGAATAAACAATACTAATTTGTAATTAATTAACACTATAAAATTTTATTAATTGTAATCGTTAATGGGCAACATATCTCCGCTAGCCATAAATTTTTAACTTTTTTATTGGTTACTTAACTGATACCGTTTCATTAGTTATAATTAGGTATAATTTTTATTAGAACAATCAAGTTATATTAACATAACAAATAAAATAAGCCGTGAAATTATTTAGCTATTTTAGATATTTTAAATCTTTATGTGCTCACTAATTCCCTAATTGATTTCTAAACTTGTCTATACCAAAAGTTTAAGGTAGATAGGTGATCTGTGTTTTGCAACTTTGGTAATACCCTCCTAGCTTTACGAGTCGAATAACTACAAAGTTAAACTTCCATCAAACAACTTAATGCCACGGACTGTTTGAAATACAAGTAACAATTAACTACTTACAATAGAGACTACTACTGCTACTACTACTTTAACAATAAAGTAGCAAACATTAATGAGATAGTCATCATTCTATTCGCACTCACCTTTTCGCTCTAATGATCGCGCATTGTCAACAAACCATCGCCCACAATGCAAACGCTGCCACAGTCACAACACTATGCATGACGTCACTTCCTATACCACTCCATTCATAAACTAAATCGAGCATCAATTCGGTTTTGTCATGTCACTAGTCACTAAAGATGAAGTCTGTGACTTTCTGCCAAACAAAACAACTCAGCACTATCACTTTTATTTTTGAAAATGGAAAACAGGTTCAGTCTCGTCTTTTTTTTCTTATTTTTATTATCAAAAAAGTTTTTATCGAAACGTGTGTGTCAGTCGCCGCGCGCGCACGTAAGAGCACGCGCAGAGCCTCCGATCGCCCCCGCGATTTTTGGCGCGTGGGCGCAACCTCAGCCTGCCGGCACCCAAAACGAATTTGCGTAATCTAAAGATAATAAAATGACACAGATAAAAATCACGATCCGAAAACGCTTTTCAGTGTAAACCGAGTTTATAAGACGACCGCCGACAGCAGGGGACCGCTTGAAAATGGCAAGCTTTCTTTATATGTATGTTAGAATTTTAAATGAGTATCGAATAATGCATTCGACATAAAAAGCTATCGGCGGCAGCTAACGATATTATGTGGTGGTGCGTTGGGACTCGAGTTCTCGTACAGGGCCTTGTATGGAGAAACGGGTTCGTCTGCAGTCCCACACGTTTGACTTTTTGCGGTTCTCTGGAAGAAAGAGCTAGGGATGTCACCGACCAGCATTGTTAGAACTACCACGTCCCTTAAATGTTATGAGATCACGTGAGATATGCAATAACAAAGAAAAGATGTGGGGTCTATGTTGACTGGTCAGCGTCTTCGAAGGAAGGACCATTGCACAGGTCATGCGCTTGCAAGCCACGTCGCTGCTAGCTTCATACATTCATAATGAAATCGTTGCCGACGCAAACTTCCTAATTAGACATCTCACCAGGGACAAGCTTTGGTCCGGTTTCGCTTTGAAAATCGTATTTGTTGTAACGAAAGGTCTGTGTTTGACTATGTATTCATTGAGAAGAACATAAAAATAAATGTTAAGGTGTTAAAGTTGAACATTTAACAACAAAAAAGAAATACCTACCTAACAAAGCACAAGTACAGATAAAAGACAAAAAATAAGGAGAAAAGTTTTTTTCCAATTTCTCACTTAATTTAATTTTACTATCTGTATGTCTCACAGATTTGCATCTCATTTCTATAAAGGTCAAAGTAATGGTGTGTCCGTAGCACTATTGGTATAGTTAAAACCGACTTCGAAAAACTAAACATTTTATTGATATGTGTTATTTAATTTAACTTCTTTAATAAAATTTTTCATTTAACTCATCAAAAATCATAGGAGAAAAAATTACGCGACTTTTGGTTTTCCTCGATGATACACTTAAGATTTTGTTTTGTTATTTGTGGCAAACTACAGAGTTCTTTTCATTTTTAAAAGAACTACAGAGTTCTTTTCATTTTTTTATGCGGTGAACATCACTGCTTTGCCACAAATAACAAAACAAAATCTTAAGTGTATCATCGAGGAAAACCAAAAGTCGCGTAATTTTCTCTCCTATGATTTTTGATGAGTTAAATGAAAAATTTTATTAAAGAAGTTAAATAAAAGTTAAATTAAATAACACATATCAATAAAATGTTCACATGATTAAAAACGAGACAAAATCGGCGGACCGTGACCACTCACTGAGACAAATAGACAAATGATGACGTATGCCACGAATAAGTTATTGTCAATGTAAACCATTAAGATTGTTGTGAAATATCTCAATTACACACCTCGGCTACATATATAAAAAGTTCGATAGCGGTGGTTAGCCCTTTCGGTCTGCGATACTACTTTCGTAATGACCGGTCAAAGGTTGGGTGACTAAAACTTTAACATCTCGAGCTCCTCCGTCCTTCGAAAGGAGTGTTATACCGTTGGTCATTATTATATCTCTGCAATATAATTCTCTGAATAGCATGGTGGCGTAGTGGATAAGCGCCGCGGCCCGCGATCGTAGTCGTTAAGCAATTTTCGCATGGGTCGGTCACGGGATGGGTGACCAAAAAATTATTATCTCGAACTAGTCCTTGCTTCGGAAGGTACGTTAAGCCGTTGGTCCCGGCTGCATTTGCAGTCGTTAATACCCTTCAATTCGCATTGGACCAGCGTGGAGGGTCATGGCCCATCCTCCTTAACCATCCATAAGGAAGGCTCAGCCCTGCAGTGGGGACGTAAGAGGGCTGGTGATGATGATGATGATGATGATGAATATAATTCTGCCGGTGAGTCATGGCTCATTTTGCCAAATCAATTTGATTAGATTTCATCCTCGTGGAAGGCCTGTACACCACAACCGCCAAACTCTCTAGCCATAGGATACGCCATCTTAGCGAATATTAGTACGATATTTCGTTTTACTACTTTGATATGTCTTTTTGTAGACAAATTTAGGTTGATGACATAACAAATCCTTGTTCATCGTTCGTTCGTTGTTATTGTATCCTATGGCTAGAGCAGCCTTTCCCAAAGTGGGCGATAAGGCCCACTAATGGGCGCTACAGGCTTAAAGGGGGGCGGTAAGAGACCGAGAAAAAAAAATGGAGGCGTTGTGTAGAGGCTTGGGGGGGTGGGTGATTTGTAATTAGTGAGGTGGCCTCTTAGACACCGACTGCATGAGCTCTCTTCTCTCAACAACAACTTGTGAATATCAACTAATATTAGATAAGAGATTGCTCAAACTCAGTTCGATTATTCTCTCCGCATAGGTCATATATCTATCCTGTCTTATCGAATATAAAATAAAAATCATGTCAATCGGTCGCTCCGTTTCGAAATGCAAGTAGACACAAACATACAAATAAAAAGGCAACAGACATACTTTCGCATGTTAATAGTTATTAGAACTCCTAGATAGGTAATTTTCATAGATAGTAGATCGCGGGCAATCATGTTTTAACAAGTATTTGTTTCATAGCCGTGCATTCCTATATTAATCGGCTGGTTCATATAATACTTCTTCTTACTTGTTCAGTACGATTAAGCGTCGAAGGAGATAAACGAGTTTCTGCATGTTTGTTTTATTCCTGTCGATGCGTGCTGCTTATGCAATCCTATATAAACAACGTAATATTTATTTTATTTTCATTTGCGGTTTCGCGCCTAATAGATAAACAGTTTTACGTACCTACTTAAGTTCACTTACTTACGTATATCATAAAACAAAACAATGTCGGAAGTAAACCAGAAGAGACGGCAATACTGAGCGGAATTTGAATTCATTGAAAATCCCACAAACCAATGAAGCCTTCAAGACTGAAAGATCATTTGAATAAAACGAATCCAGATAAGAAAGACGAGAATGTAGCATATTTTCAAGACCTAGAGAAAAAAGCATAATAATCAGCCAAGTGCAGCAAAACTATTTTCAGTGGCTGCTAAGCACGATGACGATCTTCGTACAATATCTCTTTGTTAATTGCTCAAAAGGGGAAACCACATAACATGGGATAAGAGTTAATTTTGCCAAACCGACCGCAGAGAATATCCGAAAAATTACTTAACGTAATAATTCTGTGCAAATACAAATTGATGAAATGGCTGAAAATACTGAAGGCTTATTGTGCGATTACCTGAAAACAACTCAATTCAACACGATGAGTTTACTTCACCAAATAATGAAGCATTGTTGCTGTCTTACGTGAGGTTTATCAAAGATGATAAAATATGTGAAAAACTTACATCAAAGAATGATAGAACTTACTTGACAGACCTGTATAAATTGTTTAACGACACGAAATGAAACTGCAAGGCGATGAAATAAATTTAATTAAAACAAAAAAACGTTATTGCTGCTTTCGCAGCTAACCTGCTTCTACGCAAAAAGAATACGGTCATACGTGAGTTTCACAATTTTCAAAATCCTGCAGTAACGACGATTTAATTACCTACTGCCAACACTTGGAAAACCCTCATATCGATTTCACCGAACGATATCAGGACATTTTGTACTTAGCAATACCAGACTGGGTGTTGGATCCATTTTCAAATGTCAACACAGCAATGTCACCTCAGCTGGAAGAAGAACTTATAGAATTAACATCAAACGAGGAAATAAAAATCAAGTTTAAAAAGGGTTACCAAATACCGCTAATACTATAAAAACCGATACCGCAATTGTACCCTGGATTGTGGTTAATCGACCAACGATTCTTGATAGCATTCTCATTGTCATATTTGTGTGAGCGTGGATTTAGTGCTGTGACAACACTGCTCACTAAAAAGAGAAATCTTTTGCATGTTACCTGACGTGGCTATTTGCGACTGTTCTTAAGTAAATTGAAACCTGATATTAATAGACTTATTAAACAGCATCAGATTCATGTTTAAGTTAGTTTAATGATGAATTAATTTAATTTTAAGTTAAGTTTAAGTTATAGTAGGTGAAAAAATGGGGAGTGCTAAAAAATCTTTTATTCTCAAAATGGGCCGTAGACAAAATAAGTTTGGGAAGCCCTGGGCTAAAGTTTTAGCTAGAGAAGCGTTTGAAACCGCATTCAAATTATATATTATTATTATATTATTAATGCAAGTTAAGAACTTGAGTAGAGTAGAATTTGGATTTTAGGTGAAACTTTGAATTAATTTACCTTTGTAATTTCTTTGGAAATCAATAATGTTTGCTATATTTGGAATTCATGGTACCTATACTTTTCTAGTCATAATTTATAAGGACTTTATTTTTTTATTTACTATTAATTTGAAATTAGTGATTCTTCAAGTTCGCAAAAATAATTATTCAATAACTATTGATATGTGATGATAATTAATTAGCAAATAAGCGCGTACATAATTTTTTTTTTATCATAAACGATGCAAAAAAAATCGTCAAAAGTAGTTCATAAGTAATCGAAGTTATCTGCCCCTTTTCAAATACTACTAGACCTAAAGTATTAATTTTACAACAGAAGGACATAAAATGTAAACGTAAATAAATATTAAATAACAACATCACATACATCGTGGACTGCTCTGATCTAGTAAATAATTAGCTTAAACACTTGCATAATACAAATCTGAAACAACGAAGGTGCCACATCACCTAGCCCCGAGAGAATACGGAAAAGTTCAATTTTCTATTTTGACCCGACCGGGAATCGAATCCGAAAACTCTCAGACAGCGACACCGTCCTCAAATATCTGTATTTGTATATGAGATTAAAAATGATGCTCTTGACAGATAAGGGATGCTCTTGACTTCATCAGATGTAGCCGAGCAGCTGGACTATTGTGCAATGCTGTGTCACTAG